TAAGTGTGTATTCGCAAATAAGTTCAACAATATCTTATATACTGATCACTATTAGATTTAATTGAGAAAGAAAAGAGAGAAAAGAGCTGCTCATACTTTGAATCTGAAATCAGGCCACTTTCTACAAAACCATGGAAATGAACATATGTTCCTTTTTTTCTGACGAACGAGTTTCAATAAATTAGCTCATATTCGATCAGCAAGAAACAAAATATGCACGAAGCAAACTATGTTTTTAGTTGATAAAGTCAATCATGACAAAATTAGCTCTATTAAGCAAGCAATTTAGCAGAAATCAAAAGCAAGCTCGACGCAGATCACACGTTGAGCTCATCAATCAAACGAAACAAATAAAACCCTGAAGGAGGAAATAAATCTTTAAGCCCTAAAATAACATGAAAAGAGAGAAAACATAAAAGAAAAATTACTTTCTCTATATTTTCCCGTTAAACAAACAGCGGGCAAGACAAGAAACCTACCTGGAAAACCGCCAGATTTGGATGAAAACTGAGAGGCCCATTTGAGGGAATCACGACATCGAAGCAGGGACAAGCGGGCATGGCTAACGGAACGGAGAGAATACATCTTCTGTATCGATTAAATATAGTTAGAGGCATGATTGTAATGGAAACGATCGGATTCTCAAACACCAACTTACCTGCCGTTACTGTACTATTTGGAGCGGCGCCGGCGGAAAAAATGTTGCTTCGGTATTTGAAGAAGCAGCGATACGAGTTTGAGGATATTAGAGTGGCAGCGTCGAGCTCGACTGAAAAGACGGCGCAGGGAATTCGTATTTTGAGTCGCGGCGTATGCGACGTCGAGAAGCAGAGGAGATACCGTGAGAGGTAGAAATGGCAAGACGTCGATGGGAGGAGATGACGGTTGTAGCAGTTAGGGTTAGCTGATGCGGTTTCTAGGACGCGCACAACTCCATGGATAATTAAGATTATAGGAATATTATAGACTTGGATAATTTATTTTTTTATTAAATAATTAATAACTTATTATAATTATGTGAACTCGCATTTTAATTCATTGGTATCATTCTGCAAATGAATTATTTTATATTAAAAAATATAGATTTATATTATATATATTTACCAATTTTCCATTTAAAAAATATATAAAAAAACAAAAATCTCACTCCATAAATTATATATTGATGATTTCAAATTTATTTTAAATTATTATCGAAACACTTAATACTGATTTGCCTTGTACCACACCTTTAGAAATACAATGCTGTTGAAAAATTGTGTAACCATGAACAGAAATATGATAACATAATATACTGATTGAGATCAAGATAATGATACATGGAATTATAAATTATTTTCGACCTTTAACCACGCTCGACCGGGATAAATCATATTTGTTCTTTCCCCGAGTTATATCCAAGGCAATTTCCTAATCTATTTCGCGTGATCAATCAGTCGCGATGGGTTTTACATTCGCGTTAGAAGTTAGAAGGCGAGGCAATATCAGCTTGGAGTTCCTTCCCTGGATTCCCTAATTTCAGCTTGTGATCCATTGTCAGTTGTCAACACAGTTTCCTCTTCTTCCGAATCATGTGATCTGCTTTTCTTCTTACCGATCTTATCGGAGTATTTGGCAAAAGCAGTAGACAGGGCAGATTTAAGAGCGGCTTCAGGTTCTTTCTTCTTAGGTTCACTTGCTTCTTTATCCTCCACCTCTGCAGCTTCACTTGTTGGCCCGGGTACGTCCTTCTGGACAGGGGGAGGTTCAGGGGCAGCAGGGTGGCTGGGACGAACACGCTTGAATGGTTCGTGGAAAGTGTCATATAAGCGTTTCACCTAGATCATAAATTGCAGCAAAGAAGATCACTAATAATCAAAAGATTTGAATTGAGTTTAGTTCAAATTTCAAGTATATGGAATAAGAATGAGAACGTGATACAACCACAAATGAAAAGAACTATATTTTAACTTTTTTAAGTATTATTTGGACCATACAACATGGTAATGATCATGAAACGCAAACTAATGAGAAAATCAATAGTACCTTGCGTTCTCCTATACCAGGGCAGCGAGCTAGATCTTCCGCTGATGCATCCATGAGATTCGAAAGAGACTGCAGAAAGATGACCAGCAGTTTCAAAGAAAAAAAATATATAAATAAACAAAAGTTGCCAAATAAAAATATCCAGGGAGCAAGGCAAGAAGCATACCCCAAAAGTAGAACCAAGGGTGACAACATCCGTCCTGTTAATATGCCGAACACTTGTAAGAGCATGGTTTAGCTGCAACAGGAAAAATAGTCCCGGCTCAATCACTTAAAAGCAGGAACATGTGTATGCCTGATACTGGTTTAATACTTTTGCTAACTGTCTGCTCAGAGATAAAGATTTTCCTCCTCCATAAGAGATAATTTATAAGAGCATAGCAGCATGGAGGTATCAGAAAATGTTTTTACCCGTGACAAATAGTCTGTATCCATATGGCCTTGTATAAGATCTGCTGGCTTGTTCTCATATACTTTTATAGTTTCCAAGTAACGAGCACATTCTTCCAAGCTATACCAAATAACATCGAGTTCAATAAAGAATATCCATATTGAAGCACGTTTCTTATCTTTTTTTTTTCACCACTCAGTTACTGGCAAAAGAAACCCAAAGGCAAGTGAATGAAAATTGATAAGTTTTAGAGAACAGACATCCTCCTACTTAGCCTTATAGAATAAATTATTACACATACATATATATATATATTTATATATTGAGGAGAAGAGTTACAGAATAATATTAACTAGTGAAAAAGATAGCAGTATCAGACCGCTACACAACCAAACATATTTCATATTGACATTTAGGCTTTATAGTCATTTCTGGAGAAATCGACATACCTCCAGGCACATAATAAGGTGCAATCATGAAGTAATGCGGTTTTAGTAACTTCAAGCAAAGGCTTAATGACATCCTCCTGTAACCAATGGTAACAGAGTGAATGAGCAACATAGAAAGATAAAAAGCTACCGAACTTAACATCTCTATGGACATCAAATATTGCTAAAGTTTTATATCAAAACAACTATATCAAAGGACGAGCAAATCATTTAAAAATCAGGCTTACCACATCAACATGGCAAAGAACAACACGAAGCTTAAAATTCTTTTGTAATTCTCTTATACGATAATATAGGTAGTCCGGATGTAGTAGATGATACCGAAGACTGCATCAAGTGATCATTCTTATAGTTATTTCGTAAGAGCAAGTTTGAACATGCATCTAATACACTAGTTAACATCTAATGCAATGCATTAGTCAGCCTGCAAAGGCATTGTATTAGAACCAAGTCAGCTGGATCAAAATACACAATTTCCCGATTAAAAAAAAGGAAACTTTGAGAGTATTGCCAACGTGACAGATTTCAAAGACTGATGTTATAGTGTT